TAAACACCTGATTCAGCTCATGAATAAATAATATATAATATAATAGAAATAATAAGTAGTGAAGCTCTATCCTCAGCTCTTATCAAGTTTGAATCATGTTGATCATATAAAGGACAATGGAGAGTTAAAGGTATTTGCATTTGCACCTCATTAAAATACAATATTAATAACAGCGGTGGCGTTGTGGTGCCGCAGAGACGCTCTGGCCTAAAATCAGGAAACACGTTTGTTTGTAAGAAGCAACAAAAATTACATCATCATTATCATTTATATTTTTTTCTCCAATTCCAGCTGATGGCGAAAAAACAATTACACACACACACACACACACACACACACACACACACACACACACACACACACACACACACACACACAGCACACACTTAAACCCAGGCATGTCTCTTACGCACGTGCACCTTTTTTCTTTCTCTGATTACAGTAACAATGTACTTAGATATGAAACCGCGACGCAACTTCACTTCAGCACTGTGGCCTTTTGACAACGTGCTTCAAAACAAAATAATTTGACTTGTGAATAGTCACTGCTGCAGTAACACACTTGACCCAACCTCGTTGATAACTGGGTCACTCACACGGTTGTGGAGATGTATTTAAAATAAATAAATAAAATCTGTCACATACCTGTACAACACAGCAGGGCAGAAACCAGGAAAAGACGATCACACATCCCCAACACACAAAAAGTCAGATTTTCGCTGCCGTAAAAAAAACAAAAAACAAAATAAAATAAAATAAAAATAAATAAAAGTTATAAAAAGTAATATGAAGTAAGGGTTTCCAGAAAGTGCGGCTGTGCAGCCTGAAGCGGGTGTGTGCCGGCTCTCAGCGCCGCCTCACTGGCTGCACTCTCCCCATTCACAACAGGTTTACTCAGCTGTGACGTGACACGGGTAGGATACGTTCAAGAACACTGGGAAAAATCCCCCATGACCCATAAATCTTTCATTTTTTAATGCAAATTTCTTTAATCCATAAGAGTGCGTTTTAAAATAACAAACCATTATTTCCTGCTTTGATCATATAAATTGAAAAATATAGTTGATCTACCATTTCTAGAACTACAAATAGAAAAGCAACTACAGGGAGACTGTAACTACAGACAGTACTTTTACTGTAACGCTGTGCTCTTGTACTGGCGGCGTATTTTTTACCCTGTGGCACTTCAATAAATTATTATTATTATTATTTTTTTTAAAGATACATAAATTAAAAAGAACCCATTTCCAACGGAAAAGATCGCGTCATTACGTCTTACGCTCGGTTACGCTCGCTGTCTTCCTCCGACCCTCGGAGTGAAATCCGATCGGATCTTTAAGAGGCGGCCGCCATTTTGTTGCCGGAAAGCTAACGAAAACAAACGCACCCGCTGACGCCTGCGCAAATGCAACAGGAAAGAGAGAACGCGCCAACGCAGGTAAACAATAGCTACGTAGTCTGCTATTCACAACTCTGAATACTTTGATGAAAAAAACCTTTAGATATTTGTGATCGTGGAGCTTCGCGGACCAAAGGGATATAAATAATGGAGGAATGGAGAGAAAGTCCGACTTCTAGACCTTCTCAAAGGTAGGGATCTCCACCGCCGTGCTGGTTCTGCAGGTAACAAATGCTCGCAGATATTAATGAATTATAGTTATGTGCTTATGTTTAGCGCAAAACGAACTGAACATTTCAATTAAAGAGACTCTAACCGATCTGAGGAGGTACAGCCTGTCTATACTGACAAAGGTTTGAGCGTTCACTCCCTCAGAACCGTTTAGAACCTTATAATGGCACCGTGCTTGGGCCAGCGGGCGGTATGAGGTCATTTAGACGTATAATGCTTGCTTAATGCTTGCTAAAGTCAAGCTGCGATCATTTAATTACCAACATTCATTGTAAACGTCCTTCTGTTGTCAGTTTGTGATGCTGTGGCCTCCAACTTCCACCAAAGTCTGGGATTTTCTTTTCCCTCAAGTTTTCGATTTGTAATTTCTGAACCAGCCTTGAACGTAACATGCGGATTGTGACAGAAAGCTGTGCAAGGTGATTTCCGGGTCGTGTGCTTCACACAGCTGCTGTTGAAAGAGCAGTGGAAACCATCAAGAATTAAGTATGAGTCAATCTCTAATCTATGACCGGCTGTTCCTGTTGGGTTCCTGTGTGGTAAAATCTGGCCACACATCTGTAATCAGTCGCCAAACAAAACACTTCCTGCTATAGTTTGAATTGACTCCAGCTGAGAGATACTTAGATGTCACCCCCCCCACCATCCCTCTGTGCATCCTGAGTAGTTATAAAGTGGCATGTCCCACCCACTTTCAAACATGCATTGCACAACCTGTACTTGAAAACATTTAGATCAGATAGTTCTTAATTATTTCAGGCCAAAAGTTTTCTGTGTTTTTACATCTTTTTTTTTCTTTTTCAAAATAGCCAAATCTCATACTTAGGCCACATGCTTGTGTTTCCTCTGGCCCAGTGTATTCCCCGGTACCAAGGCACGAGTCTGGCCCATATACAGTATGACTGTCAGATGCTGCTTCCACAAATAAAAAATAACCTAAACTTAAAACCCCCGGAGGATAACAGCTGGAATCTGCCCAGATGTAAGACTGTATGGGCCAGAACAGTGTAGGGCTGCACCGTATCACGGAGGCCTCACTTGTGACCGGTGACTCATTGCTTCTCACATTTTTCACGGTGGCTTTGTTGTTTTCTGTTCTGTCTCACCTCCCTCACCTGACAGAGCCCAGGTAACCGCACGCTGTCGCCCCCTCCCAGTAGAAACCAGTCCATCCAGTTGAGGGCACAAGTCCCTTCATGTTATGCTTTCTTTATCACAACCTCATCCAGTCAACAATAACACAACTCTCACAGCAGCAACTTCTCTGTGAAAATATAACAATTCTATAATCAATACCTCAGGTCTGTATGATACACAGGCTGATATCCAGTAACAGGAAGTGTTTTTATTCATCCTGAAACTAAAACCCAAGCTGATAAATGATGTATGATTTATTCAGTTGTAGTTTGTGTGACAATGACCAACTTCTTGTTACTTTATCTACTATATTTGGGTTATTTATGAATTGTGTGTTGGATTTTCCTGCACAAGTCGCCACCTGGTGTCAGTTGCTAAACATTACACCTGATGCACATCAAGTGTAGAGGCACCTGGAGACATGAGACTGTGTCCTGACAGCTGCTTCATCCAGATGTTTGCTTCGTCTCTGCTCATAAGTCTTCTTCATGTGCTGTCTGCAGTTAACTGCCTCATCCTCTGTTAGTGTCTCGTATTTTTCTGTGTCAAGTCATGAAGACGCAGAAAACATTGGAGCATGTTGTGTTATTCTATCATAACAGGCTGCAACAAACTTTATTATCAATACATCTGACAATTAATTTCTTTAATAAATGGTAAATAAACACACATTCCCAAAGCTCAACATATTCAGATGAATTATTTTGTCCGAGCAAGAGTCAAAATCAAAACTGTTGAGTTTACTCTCATTGAAAACTGTGAAAAGTGGCAAATATTCACATTTGTGAAGCTGCAACCAGTAATTTATTCTTAAAAATGACTAAAAATGAATTATTTAATATCAACATTTTTGCCAATTAAATTCCTGCTGGAGTCGACATGCATTTAGAAAAATGTCTCACTTCAACCACAAGAGGGCACAACACTGACTGACTACTCTTCACACCATTCACTTTATACAACAATCTAATTATTTAAATTTACATGCAAATAAAGTGGGAGACTAAATGTCTCTTTATTTTACCCTTAATGAGGTTGGAACCTCAAATATATCTTTTTATGGATCAACACTTCAAATAAAACACAGGAGAAGTGTAAAACATATAAATACAGTCGATGCAAATCAATGATAAATGTGGTCAAACACACTGACGATATAAAACCTGAAACCTTGACAAACTTTGTATGTAATCTACATGTGGAATGATTTCACTTCATTCATTTCAGTAGTTTTGGTCGAAGAAAATCTATGTATCACCATCTGTCGCCATCAGTGCAGGAGATGAAAGAGTCTCTGGAGCGATGTGACTCACTCACACTGAAAACAGGAAAGCTTCACACCCTTGGTGCAGGAAGTCAAATAGAACGATGCGACAAACTCATGTTTCAAAAGTCCCTGCAAGGATCATCTGACAGAAAGTTTAGCTGAGAGTTTAGTTTGGTCTGAAAATACTTCCACCTCTGTGTCAATCAGCTACTTGAAACAGACAGGACATCATGTTTGGCTTGACTTTCAAAACCATTTTTAGTGGTGAACATGAACTGAATCACTCCTATCATGCGCATTAGACTTTATATTATAAGGATTGACATTGTCACTTTTGTGTTATTAATTTATGCACTGTATTTGCATGTATTTCAACAGTTGAAGCTTGTTATTTAAACCTTTTATACAAAGCTGTGAAGCTGTTAGAACAGTTAAAGCAGCCGTGAAAGCTCTTATAACAATTAGTATGAAATAGCTACCACACTACATCACCTACCTGCACACATACTGTATGCACACATACTACATATCTATATAAGTCATTATGCAATGACATGTGCACACTGTACTCTCAGTCTATGCACATCAAGCCACTATTGTAAACAGGGTAATTTATTATTCATAAAGGGTTCTTATATGCAGTGCAGTATGTGTAGTTGTAACAATCGGACTTATAGTAGTTTTCTTGCTCATTGCTGCATCTCCATCTGTTTGTGCAGTTAACGGACACGTTCAACACATTTAATTCTGCATAGAATGAATGTACTGCTGTAATTAGCACTGTCACAATGTCAGATTTTCACTACATTATAACTGAGGCCAAAAGAAAGTTACATACGCTGTGGACTGAAAACCACAGACTGACTCCAGCTTCTACTCACAGGTCTTTGTTCAGGATGTTTCACATCGACGCTTCCTCCTTTTTCTCAGTTGTGAACGCGACGCTCAACTTGTCACATAGTTTTTCAGAAGAGAAACTTACCGTTCGCCATGTTTTACAGGTAAGAACTGCTTTTTAAAGTAAAACATTTGTGTTAAATGTTGGGTACATCATTATTTCATAATCTTAAACATGTGAAAGTTTTGACTGTTTAAACTTGTAGATAATTTCATGCATTTAAAAACAAACGATTTATGTTGTTTAGGCATTTTACCATTATTGTCTAAATACACTGGACTTGAATTGTTATTTATGCCTTAAAGTCAGTTCAGACATGTTGTACAACCTTTCCCTGTATCATCTGTCAGAGTTTTCAAGATTTTACTACTTAGATGAATAATAGACTTGAAGGATAAACTACCTGGAATAATCTAATTGTAAAATGTTCTCTTAGATTATGATATAGATATGATTATATATGTCAGGAAAGTTGTGTATAGTTGTCCAATTGTTGGGATTTTACCCATTTTTACTGAGTGGAGGGAGCTCAGAATGTGAGCAAACTTTCATATTTGAGATTACAGGAAGTTGCTGTGGTTTACTTAGGCGTCGTTTACCCATGTGATGATGACTGAGACAACAACTCAGAAGCTTCCTAGAAGTGAAGACGTATATTAGATTTATGCAATTTTTATGAGAATGTTTTTCAAATCTAACAGCTAAGGGGGTAGGATGTGTGTGTGAGAAAAACCCATGGATGAGGCCGGAGTGCAGAGATGCACATGGACATGGCTGAGGTGAAAAAGAAAGAACAAAGGAAGTAGTGTCACCTGAGGAGGGCGGTTCCTTTCCAGGCAGGAGTGCTTGGATTATTATTAAGTCTGGTATTTAGTCCCCACTTTTTATACTGGGGACTTCTTGATACTAAGCCTTATTTATTGATGTATTGATGTATTGATCTATTGATTTTTAATTCTCAGAAACTCAAGATTCTGCATCAAGTGATGGACCCCAGCGCTGGACTGTCTTTCATTCCCATCAGTATTTCACTTTTACATCACAGTATCAGTGATTTGCTTTTATATCTCAGAATCATTCTTCTAATACATTCTCATGGAGGTAATTTCCAAGCAAAACTTTTCCTGAATGCAAATAGATTTATACATTCAGATGTAGAGTTTCAGCTGAGTGAACTGAGGCCTAAAGCCATCCAGACGACGACAGTACGCACTCCAGCAGTGATTTGTGTTTGTTTTACAGCTTTTGACGGGTCACAACAGATTAGATGAATGAGACACCAGCTATGAGACAGGAGAACACAGGGAAAATGATGATGAAAGCATTTATTTAATTTAATATTTTAATAGGCATTAGAAATAGGAATTGTAAAAAGAATTGATAAATGAATGATTAATCCATCAATAAATACTTTACTCATTAAGTAAACCATTTATAAAAGCATTTATTCATTCATTGAATAAATAATAGAATTTAAAAATGGGTATACATCCATAGATTCACTCTTCAATTTCCATTTCCTTTTTCCAGCTGCTTTTCCTATTAGCTAATTGATTAGCGTAGTCATTTAGCCTCTCTGTGACCAATCACAATTGGCCATGGGATGTAGCAAGCTCTCTGATTGGTTTGAGAGTTAACCAGTGGGTTTTCCTGTGACATTCCCTCTGTTGATTTGTTAACTTAAACCACAAGAAGAAACTACGGAAGCCCTCAAAGGCAAGTGAAAGGCAAGGGTTTTTTTTTTTTTGTATAAACAATATTTTTTGGAGAGAAAGGAAAAATTTTTTGCTCTTTTGCTCTTTCTTTCAGGCCTTGTTTATACAGAGGAAAGAAAGCTTGATACACAGATATTATGTGTGTGAACAGATTGAAAATCCGTGTGTAAACGTCTCAAACAAACAAGTTTTGAGACAAACTTTCTGCCAGTCTGAATGAAAATCCACTTGTGTCACTCAGGTGCTTTCAGAAACATGTGATCGCCTGCTGGTGATGACATTTTTGTTTTAAAAGTAAGAGCACGCAGTCTTCTCTGAGCTTTTTTCTTTTTTAAACTTGCCTTTCAGGGCTTCTCTGAGATACAGAAATCCACAAGACTTTTCCAACTGCAGACAGTGATCGGTGCTACACAATCTTACACAAAGATTATGATGGTTCTCCTCCTGATTGATTATTTGTCACTTTCAAAATTGAAAAGTTCGATGTGATGACATGAATTAAAGCTGTTTTTTTTGTTCGTTCTTTTTCCTTGCAGCTCAGTCAGAGTTGATTTGTTCACATCAACCAATTGTAGCCTTGGCTGGTGATGATGTCATTCTACCATGTCGCCTTGAACCTGCCATCAGTGCCAGGACAGTAGAGTGGACTAAACCTGGTTTGGACCCAAAATACATCCATATTCACGAAAAGGGACTGGAGCATTGGATTCAAAATCCTTCTTATAATTTCCGAACACGAGTGTTTGTGGATGAACTGGAACAAGGAAACGTCTCCATGAAAATCTTCAGTGTGAAACTGTCTGATGAAGGAAAATACAGATGTTACATTCACTCAGTTCAGGAAGAAGCTTTCATCCATCTCAGTGTTGGTGAGTCAGACTCTGTGTTGATCGACTGAACTGAACTAACACAAACACAATTTGATACTTAAAGTTACAAAGTGACCTCAAAGTGACCAAAACCTCCTCTCTTATCTCCAGGTTCAGTCTCGTCACTTGTCATAAAGGTTACTGCAAATACAAGTAGAACACTGGTGTTACAGTGTGAGTCTAAAGGCTGGTATCCAGAGCCTGAGCTGTTGTGGCTGGACGGTGAGGGAAAGCTGCTCTCTGCTGGACCTACAGAGACAGTCAGAGGTCCTGATGACCTCTATACTGTCAGCAGTGGAGTGACTGTGGAGAAGAGACACAGCAACAGCTTCACCTGTAGAGTCCAACAGAAGATCATCAACCAGACCAGAGAGACACAGATTCATGTTCCAGGTAGAAATCTTTCAGACTGTCCTGTAAAAAACGAGCCCACAGGTCGTTCGTGCGAAAGGTTATTATGACCCATAGTTAGGTTTTGTTGCTATGTGAATTCCAGTGGCTGTAGTGATGATGACAGGAGCAAAGGGGAAAGTGCCGTGACGTAGCATGAAGAGAGACAAAGTCCACGTCAAGAGGAGGTGGCGGTGGATGGATGAATATGATACAGGAGATCGGTGTTCGATTCCCATGTGAAACCAGTAGTTTATATTGTTTCTATTACCCATGACTGTGTGTTGTCATTATTGTAACCATGACAACAAAGATTTTCTGATGTTGAGGAAGTACTTATTTAACCCAAATCACGATCTTTTCTCAAACCTAACCAAATAGTTTTTGTGCCTAAACCTAATCAAGGCATGACCTGTTATTATAGTAACCACGGCAACGTTCGGTAGGCCGCTCTCGGTACAGTTGTTTTTTAATATGGTAACCATGACAACTGATATCCGGAACGCCTGTCGCTGTAGGGGCACTATTTCAGGAGACACTCCTATGGGTCGTATTAGAGCGTTGAAAAGGTTGTTCAGGTTGGAGGAGTTGTTGACATGTTTATAAAAACCTTTACACTGACTTTGTCTTACTGAAATAGATTTCTATATAAACACCATGCTGCTCTGTTCTATCGTTTCAGGTGGTTTCATCAAGGACCCAGTTGAAGATTATCCTTGTGATTATTGGGATTTTTATGCTTGGGATCCCTTTTATTCTTTTACTGGTTGTATTTTTGCTGTGCCGTCAATGTAGCTCCAAAATATCTACATCTGATGAAGAAGGACAATCAACACAACTATCTGAACCCACTACAGAGGATTTGACCAGATAATCACCAAATAGAAGAGGCAGAGTTTGTACTGTGCAGCAACAATAAACATTTTCTCTAGTTTCTTTATAACATTTGTGAGCAAATTAGATGTATAATTTGTAAGTCATCTGATTGTAAATATAGTGATCAGGGTTCACATCAAACTAACAGGATGTTGAAGAAACTACAGCTACTGTGAAACTATGAACTGTAGTAAACTCTGGAAAACNATTTTCTCTAGTTTCTTTATAACATTTGTGAGCAAATTAGATGTATAATTTGTAAGTCATCTGATTGTAAATATAGTGATCAGGGTTCACATCAAACTAACAGGATGTTGAACAAACTACAGCCTTTGTGAAACTATGAACTGTAGTAAACTCTGGAAAACACCTTGTATCTGTGAACAACAACAATGTCCCCAAATGAAATGTCTGTGGTTGAATCTTCCTGCAGAACTCATGTGATCACCAGCAAGACCTTGTCACATCACACTTGTATTTATTAGAGGAGTAAATTACAAACCACTTTACTGATTCAAATCATTTTGTTCAGTTCAAAGTTCAAAGACAGGTGGTCACTGATAATCAATCATATTTGTATTCAAATGCATTTCAGTTTGTACAACAGTAAGTGAACGCGTCATTGTTCTTACAGCAGCAACCAACGGCACTGATTCAGTCTTCAGTGTTATTCTTTATTTGGATCCCCATTTTCTTCTTCTACAGCGGGGTCCACATAAAATCATTCATTCACAAACAGCACATAAACAAACTGTGGTCGTCCTGTGTGGTTCATGTGTGGAGACAGGACACACAGAGAGTTAGTGCTCAAACACGTCCACTAGAGGTCCCTGTTTCTCTAAAGATAAAAATGCAAACATTTCATTGTGTCAGAACAAAACATGCTGACTGTTGTTTTTAAATGTCATGATTCAAGTTTTCCTGTTTTTGAATGAACATTTTGATGAAACATATACAATTATACTGCATTTGATCATATTATAAATTATTTTTACATCATTCATTTGTCCAGTTCTAT